CTGGTGCCTTCTCCATGGCTGTTGGGATCCTTGGGGACATCCAGTTCATGCCACCTCTGTCCTCCACAGGCTGCCGTCCCTACTCCATCCCACCCTGTGAGCACCACGTCAACGGCTCCCGCCCACCGTGCACTGGGGAAGGGGGTGGAACCCCCCGATGCAGCCGGCACTGTGAGCCTGGCTACTCCCCCTCCTACAAGGAGGACAAGCACTATGGTAAGTGAGGTGACCTCCAACACAGCTCCAGAGCTGCTCCTCCTGGCAGCTGTGTGGGGTGGGCAGGGTTGGACCTATTCCTCAGCTGATTTATGGTGGTTGTTTTCTGTGCCCCGTCCCTGGAGACTCCAGTCTGATGGTCCTGGAGCAAACATCAGCCTGGCACATGGACTGTTTGTATTTGCTGAGACTCAGCTGAGAAGACAGGACTGATTTGAGTCCTCATGGTGCACATAGCTGGGTTGAAGAGTGTGATGCTGAGTCCTGTGGGAGTCTGGTGTCAAAGCCATCTCCTTATGACTCCTTGGAAGTAGCCAGTCCTATACATTTAGGATAATCCAGCTGTTTCTTGGAGATGTCTTAGCCTCTAGTCATTTGTATGGTTTTGGGAGGATGTACAAGGAGGAAAAATTCTCTTCGCATTGAATTGCTCTGGAATAGGTCTTTGGGCACAGAATAGAGCTCAGATTAAATCATTCCATCTGGAAGAGGGGTATTTGGAGCCTACTTTTCCTGCCTGGCTGTGCCAGTGCCTCTGGGGCAGCTGGGTATGAATTTAACCTGAATTTACATGGAAAAGGCCCCTTGCAGGGTCACACTGAGCAGTCTCAGTCAAGCCATTCCGTACCTCTTTGGCCTGGCAATGCCATCCTAATGATGGGATTTTTTTCTTCCCTAGGCATCACATCCTACGGTGTCCCTCGCAGTGAGAAGGAAATCATGGCTGAGATCTACAAGAACGGCCCGGTGGAAGGAGCCTTTATTGTCTATGAGGATTTCCTGATGTACAAGTCTGGTGAGCATCAGCACTGAGGCTGTGACGAGGAGCCCTGTTCTCTACTTCATCTGTAGGGTCCCTCTTTTGTGGCCCTTGTCCTTCTGCTCAAGTCTGAAAGGAGATCTCAAGCTCACACTTGAGTATCTGGTGTGGCAAGCCATGGGCAGATGCTGTTTCCTGTATCCATTGGTTTATAGCAAGGGGAATAGGTGCTTGGGACTGGCTCAGAGAGGGAACCCCAAGGAGGACATCCCCAAATTCCAGCTGAGAACTCAGTAGTTGTAGTATAAAAACCACACTTTATAAAAAAAAATACGTATAAGGGAAAGAAAGAGAGAGAGAGAGAGAGAGAGAGAGAGAGAGAGGGAGGGAGGGAGGATAAGAGTAGATAGTGCAGACGAAAGATATCACCACCTGTGGGTCTAGTGATGAGACTTGATTGTTGCAATTTAGATGTCCCTTGGCCAAAGTGACAGTCTTGATCGGTCAGGGGATGTGGGAAGCCCACACAACATGAAGTTCAATGGATTAATATACATTCAGGTTCAGGTGGGAACACCCAGGTACCTCCCCTGGTGGGGGGAGTTTTACACTGTCTGATGCAACACTGGGGATCACAGAGTCCTCTGGTGGAAGGCCCCAGAAATGAATCTGAGGGTATTTCGAGGGTCTTTGATGGTTTATGATCTCTTCTAAGACATGGCAGCTGTTTCTCATGCCAGAGTAGCTGGGTAAGTTATGTCTTCTCAGAAGGGGTGAATACATTCAGGCCTACATGTGAATGTCTTGATACCTCCCCTGGGGTGGCGGGTGAGGGAGAGTTTTTGCATGTGAGCCAGTTGTGTAAGAGAGGAAATTGGCATGATAAAAAGCATTGTCCCACCTCACAGGATCTGCTTCTTACTGGCCTTTTCCCTTGACTGGCTCCAAAACCAGCTAGTTGGTTAACAAAGGTGGGTTTGATGCTGTCATCCGCCAGTGATGGGTGCACATCCACTCTGCACCTGGGCTGTTCTTGTGCCAATCAGAGGTTTCATCACCACACCCCAAAACTCTCCTCTCCTTCAGCTGGGGAGTGCAAACTTAGCATCAGCAAAGCACCCCAAATGGCAGATTGTTTGAGTCATTAACCTTTTAAGAGCTCAGTCTCTGACACCCCTGTGACATGGGCAGGAACACCTTCCACTAGCCTATGTTGCTCCAAGCCCCATTCAACCTGGCCTGGAACACTTACAGGGATGGAGCAGCCACAGGTTCTCTGGACAACCTGTGCCAGTGCCTCACCACCCTTACAGCCAAGAGTTGCTTCCTAATGTCCAATCTAAATCTCTGCTCTTTTAATTCAAAACCATTCTCTCTTGCCCTATCAGCATCTGTCCATGAAAAATTCCTTCCTCCTGACTCTATGCTAAATTTCTTGACATTTAACCAAAAACCCCTGGTCTCTGGGTTGTGATATCAGATGTCTCACAAGCTGTCAGTGCTCTGTGGCATGGAGACATGGTGCCTGTTGATGTGTTGGTGTGTTGCCTTGCAGGTGTCTACCAGCATGTGTCTGGAGAGCAGGTTGGAGGTCATGCCATCCGGATCCTGGGCTGGGGGGTGGAGAACGACACTCCATACTGGCTGGTCGCTAACTCCTGGAACACTGACTGGGGGGACAATGGTGAGGCACCACAGGGACCCTCCCTTCTTGTTCTCCTTGGCATGATGTAGAGGTTGAGTTTTGCTCTTGGTATGCTTCCAGGCTTCTTCAAAATCCTCCGAGGAGAGGACCATTGTGGCATCGAGTCTGAGGTTGTGGCTGGCATTCCCAGGACTGAGCAGTACTGGAAGAGGATGTAACTTTGATCAAACCACAAATAATCCTGAGACCCTGATGCTTTTAACTGATAGTGGATTGGGTGCAGAGACCCCCCTTCTAAGAGACTATAGTTGAGGTTACTTTATTAAAGCTTTTTATCTTTTCTTTTTCCAGGTTTTTTTTTTTTTTTTTTTTATTTTTTGGTATTTTTTTTTTACATTTTATGGTGGAGCTGGAGGTGGACTGCTCTCTGCAAGCCTTCTGCTCCTGGTGGGTTACAGCCATGGGGCATTCCCTGCTCAAAGGACTGCTTGAGGGCTTGCTGGCCCCTTGGTGTTTAGTTAGCCTGGACCCCTTCCAGCCCAGTTGGTTACTGGGAGGGCAGAAAGCAGTAGCTTTGTGCTGGGATTAGGGACTTTGTGTTTGTGGGGCAGCAGAGATGGGCCCTGCTGGAAAGACATAGCCACAGGAAATTTGTGCACTCCTGGCTGGGTTGGTCTGACTGTTAGGACCTGAGACATGCAAAATATATTAGTGTGTGCCTTGAACTGGCTAAATTTAGACCTCATAATGATAAAATACTGATGACCTTGACGTGGGGCTGACTCTGGCCAGAGCTGCCTGCACCAAGGCCTTTGTGCATCACTTGCTCTGCTTTTGCCATTCACCTTTTTAAACCACTTCTTCCTCAGCAGTTCATTTGCTTTTTTTTTTAATCTGCTGTGGTCTAGGGTTATAAACCCTGGGAAAGGGCCTGGCTGGAGCTCCATGAGCCTTTGATCAGATGTCCTGCAAGGATTTAGGACACTGGAAAGAACAAACCACTTCTCATGCGTGGCTGGGCAGCTTGGTGTGTGCAGCAAGACATGCCTGGGCAAGGGTGCTGCATCTAGAATTGGAGTGTTTTGGGGCTGCAGGTGCTGCATACTAAGCTGAAAGATGGTTCCCAGATCTGCTGCAGGGAGCTTGTGCAGATGCTTGGAGGTCTCTCACTAACTTGCACACAATTAAACTTTTTTTTTCTTGAGCCACAGGCATTAAGAAAGAAAAAGACCTTATTTTTATTACTGGGGGGAGATGTAATAGTTGCATAGGAGGAATCATGTGATTTACCAACACTAATATAGCAAAAGACTTTGTTTTTTGTTTTTTTTTAAATTTTAAAGCACAAAGTATATTGCTGAGCTGAGGCTACAGGCTGAAATGCGTGAAGCAGGCTCTCCCCTGCACTGTACAATAGCCCCTTACCTCTGCTTCCTCAGACACCAGTGAGACAGAGCTGTGCTGTATGTGGCTGAAACAACTGTGCCAATAAATGATTTCTCCAGGGTCTTGTCTCCTGGCCGTTGGTTGCTTCTACTTGACTTCCAACACTTTAAGTGATTATCCCATGTGGAAACAGGTGAGACCCTTCTGTCTTCACAGAATGGTTTGGGTTGGAAGGCACTTGAAAGACCGTCTTGTTCCAACCCCCACTCAGGGGCAGGGACACACCTTCCACCAGCCCAGGTTGCTCCAAGCCCTATCCAACTTAGCCTTGAACCCTTCCAGGGACAGGGCAGCCACAGCTTCTCTGGGCAACCTGTGCCAGTGCCTCACCACCCTCATGGCCAAGAATTTCTTCCTAATAACTAATTTAAATTTCCCCCCTTTCAGTTTAAAACCATTCCCCCTTGTCCTGTTCCTCCAGGCTCTTGTCCCAAGTCCCTCTCCAGCTCTGTTGGAGGCCCTTTAGGCACTGGAAGGGGCTATAAGGTGTCCCCACAGCCTTCTTCTCCAGGCTGAACAACCTCAGCTCTCCCAGCCTGCTTCCATGGCAGAGATGCTCCAGCCCTCGGAACATCTCCGTGGCCTCCTTGGATTCACTCCAGCAGCTCCACATCCTCATGCTGGGACCCCAGAGCTGGAGTAAGTACTGCAGATAGGGTCTCACCTGAGTGGAGCAGAGGGGCAGAATCACCTTCCTTGTACAAGTATGGTCGGTCCCAGCCCTGTCCTGTGGCTCTACTGCTGACAGCCACTGTGGGGCTTGTGTTGGTGGTAGGGAAGCTGATTCAACTCTGACCAGAATGCAGCCAGGACTGGCCCCAGAAGCCCTTGAGGAGGAGGATACACGAGGGCACTGGAATACATGCCTGCAGCCCAGGGCTGTGTCACCACCCCTAGTGCCTGCAAGGTAAGCTCCTTTCAAACTTAATTTACTGATCATCAGCTGTCACCCTGGTTAAAATTCTTCCTTTGGGTCTGGCACAGAGAGCTGTGCTGTGATACCTGGAGCTGGCAGCAGGGAAGCACTGGAACTGCATCTGAGCTAAGGCTTGTAACTTATGGGGAACTACTGGTATAAAAGAAATGACAACTAAAGAATCCATGATCCAAGACTTATTTTTCCCAAAGAAAACTTTAATTTCAACAAGACGGGAAGCTGCACAAAGAGCTACCGCAAGTTTCTTTAGAACAACAGCTTAAAACTATCTACATCAGTACTGGTTGAATAGGAGGGGTTCTCTTTCTCAGGGACAGCCTGGCCACAGGGGCTTGGCCTTCTAAAGGCCACCAAACTGCACCTGGTAGCTCTGTCCTGTACCAGGACTTGGGCTCTCCTTCCCTTTACAAGGCAAAGCAGCATTTGGGGTGGGTAGGGACATTGAAAACAAAAATCCACCCCAGGAAAACAGGACTTGCCTTTAAGGTGTTGATTCCTCTTGCAAGTCCAGCCTGATGTGTTTCAAAGCAGCAGTGGAAGCTTCTTCCAGCTCACACATCAGTCTAACCCAAAGCACCATTTCAAAGCTAGAGCCAAGGGGATTAGGGAAACCTGCCCTAATCAACCCTTTGGTGGCTCCAGCCTTCCCAGCCCATGGCAGGGATTGCTGCTGCCTTTCAATGCCCTCTAAAAAGCATCCCATGAGGAACAGCAGGGGACAAACCCTCACTCCCCTTGGAGTGACCACCTGCCCCCTTGGGCTGAGGAAGTGCAGAGCCCAGACCCTGCAGTGGAGTGGGTTATGAGCTCAGGGCCATGCTGGCAGCTCCCTTCTCATTTTAACCACCTCCCCACTGCTAGAACACAAAGCTTTGCCAGTGCAGGGGTCATCTGGCACAGGGCAGGGAGCTGCACAGCTGCCTTTCAGCTGGGAGCACATTAAAGTGGACAGAGCATCCCACCTCCTATTTATTTAACATTAAAAGGGCTCGTTTCAGCATCCTTCAGCACAACAACGTGACTACTGCCTCTGCCTGTTTCCAGGCTGCAGGATGTCAAACAGCCCAAGCTGAGAGCCAGAACGTGGCCAGAGTTTTTTTCTCCTGGCTAAGGAAGCATGCTCCTCTCCTGGCTGAAGCAGTGTCCTTCCAGCGCGGAGCAAGCACCAGAGGCAATGGGGAAGAGGCTGCCTAAGAAAGAGAGGCAAAACCCAGAGGGTTTTGCTCAGCTCTGAGCTGGAAAGGTGTCTCAAATATCTCAAAGAAGAAAAGAAGCAACTGAAGTTTCAATTTCAAACCATCCTAAAAAGAAAAAGAAAAAACTCAGGTTTTTTCCAACAGGAAAAAAGATAAAAAATACAACCCCAAACAATAAGACTCCAATTAGCATTTGTAACCATTCAAGAAGACAGCAAGAGTGGTGAGGATGGGGTCCAGCCCATCACCCCAGGGCTGCAGCTCACCGGCATCCCATCCTCATCACCATCCCAGTGCTCTGTAGCTGGTCATCCCCATGGTAGGGAGCAAGGAGCCTCCTGCTTCCACTGCCCATCTGCCAACCATCTCTGCCCCTGCCCACCCACTGCCCATCAGTTCTCGCCCGCCTGGACATACTCCTCGGTGGCCTTGGAGAGGGTGCTCAGGTACTGCCAGCTCAGGGCAGCCAGGAGCATGGCACAAGACAGGTAGATGGGTGAGTAGTGATGACGTGACGCCATGGGGCTGCTGGGGAAGCTCATGGCACGGATGGAGGCGATGACCTGCTGTGTCTTGTTGGATGATGGGTCTGTGCTTGGGATCTTCTGATAGATCTGGGGAAGAAGGAAGAAGTTATGGTTCCCACCCAAAGTTGAGGAAAGAAATTGGAACACTCGGTGGAAGAGCAAGATTTAAGGGCCACTGTGCCCTTGAGCAAGCTCAGTGGTGGACTACCATGGAGCAACGACCAGCTGCAAGAGATGCCTGGATCGGTCCAGCGCCCATCTCCCTTGGGAAGTGCACTAAGCCAAGCTGCCTCTTGAGGGCACCCCATGATGGGACATGGACGCAGCCTCGGACATGATCCCTCAACTACCAGTAGTGTTACTGGGACTGGTGGTTCTCACCCTGCAGCCCACCTCAAACCAGTGGGGACACATCCCAGTGTGTGACTGGTTGGAAATGGCCACTTCCATGGCCTTTGGGGTTTTCTTCTCACAGTTTGCAAACCCCATGGCCTTTGGGATACTTGTCTGCATGAGTCTTAGCAAGGTATGCACAAGCAGAGACCCTCTTCTGGGCTAAAGTGTTGCACTGTCACTGTCCCTTGCCACAGGACTGGCCAGGCCACAAAGGGAGCTCCAGTAACCCATAGTTTGGGGTCTTCCCAGTGCAGATATTTATTTAACAACCCTCACTGAATTCGGGGTTCGGGGAGTGGGGGTTTTGTTTCCCATGAAACTACCCACCAGTTGTTCTTCAACATAAACTTTTAACCTCCACAGGACCTTGAAGTCAGGAGCAATAAGGTCCCCTCTGAGCCTCCTTTTCTCCAGGCTGAGCCCTCACAGCTCCCTCGCAGCCACTCCTCATAAGACTTGTGCTCCAGCCCCTTCCCAAGCTCCGTAGCCCTTCTCTGGACATGCTGCAGTACCTCAATGTCTTTCCTGTCATGAGAGGCCCAAAACTGACCCCAGGATTCCAGGTGCCTCATCAGTGCCTAGTCCTGCTGGCCACACTGCTGCTGATACAAGCCAGGATCCCACTGGCCTTCTTGGCCTCTGTCTCTCAACATGGGTACAGACCAGGGCTATGTTCAAGGGAACATGTCAAGCATCCAGTTTGGCCCAGGCCAAGACTACTCAAGGGTCACAATTCCCTGCCACCACTGAACTAAGAAATACAAGGAAAGAATTTACAGATTCATGTGTCTTCCCAATTCTACATCAGGAATGAGAGCAAGAACAGCCAGAAACTACTCA